TATGATTCTAGTAATTAACACAGGCTCTTTTCTTTTACTAAAATACATGAATTAATATGTATTTATTAATTTAATGACATATGATTAAGAAAATATTATGTGAATTAATGTTGTAAAATTAACTGAAAAGGCATTTCATCTTGTAAAAATTTAATACTATTTCCAATCTAATTTAGTTGTTTCATTTCTAAACAAGATGGTCTGATTTAATTGTATAACTTTCTATTTTAATGATATATCAAATGTTAATATTTCAATTTTACTCTTATCTCAAAAAATATAAAAATGAGTTAGGTTTTTTTTTTTTTTTAATTGTAAGTAAGGCTAAAAGGAAAAGGATAAGTTTCATTGTAATGAATAAATTTTTTGATAATTGTAAATAGATAAAATGACATAATTAAATCATATCACAAAAATAATCAATAAGATCAATACTCCGCAACTTTAGACATAAATTTTAATTTTCCACACCACCCTTGTTTAGAAGATAAATATTTGATTATGAAAATAATCTATTTTTATCATTCCCATTCCTTACTAGACATGGATTTTTACTTACAAAATGGACAAATAAGAGACAAGGGCGAAAAAAGTTATAAAAGGAGATTCTACTAATGTTATAGAGAATTTAGTATCAATCTAATAGAGTTCAACAAACTAAATAGCTTAGTGTTATTATTATTATTTATGAAAATAAGATATCTTGAATTTAAATCATACAGTAAGAAGTAAATTTTTTTGTATAATAGACAGTGAGGTATAAAATAAAAAATAATTCCCCTTATCTTAGCCTTCCACACCTATCTTAAGATTTAAACTCATGACCTTTTAATAATTAGAATGTTAGCTAAAAGAGCCAAAGAAATGGATTTAGTTAATAAACGCAAGCTAAACTAATTAAGATATCTTTTTACTGATAAGCGCAAAATCATATAAAGAAGAAAATCTAATGTCACGTATCAAGATTTAGGTTCATATATATCCTTAAAAAAAAAAAAAGCACATACAATACAAGGTTGCAACATTAAACTATCGAGATTAGTGTTGCCAAAAATTGCATCATGCTACTAAGAAATTTTTTCAATCAATTTTTTAAAGTAAATTCTCTAGTGAAACTTAATATTTCAAAAAAAAAGGGTGAAAATATTACTATGAAAATTTAATGATTCTCTTGTTTTTGGTTAAACAAGAATTTTTTCAATCTAAAATTTTCCAAAATTTGGAAATTTTGTTAGCAATGGTAACCTAATAAAGCCATATTACAATGCAAATCCAATAAATCAATTTCAGGGCATTTTTGTCATTTTATATTTACCTCGTTGGCACCCAATGTAATTTCGTTGAAGAATAAGGACAATTTTCCAAAACTATTCTATATATACACCCGACCCCAGACTCTCCTCCACTCCTTTCATTTCACACTTAAAGTCTCTCCTCTCTTTCTCTCTCTACCCCTCTCTCTTTCTCTTTCTCCCCTTTTCTCAATTTTGATATTTTCTGTCTCCAGTTTTTAAAAATTTAGATTCCGTCCACTTTCTGTCTCCGACTCTCCGATCCCAACTCCCCTTGTTTCCGTACAATTTTAAGGTCTTTTTACCTCCATCAATTTTTTACCGTGAAATTTTACCTTTTGACTGTTTTTTTATTTTATTTATATATATATTTTTTATCCGAATAATAATCTTTTTTATATTTAAAAAAAAAAGTTTTGGAAGGGGTAGAAGAGAGGTCGTTTCGCAATTTTATATTTATTATAAATTTTATTTTATCAGATATTATAATATTTTTGGTTGCTGACGTGGCATGCACCAAAGAAGGCGCAAGAATGAACACAAAAACGATGCGCCTTCCTCCTCGTCGGCTAGTGACACCTGCCAAGCGCAAAGAGAAAGACGATTTTGACCTCGAGCCGTTCAAAGCGTCGAAGCCATCCAAGCCGGTTACTCCGCAAGCCGGTTCAGAAAAAGCCGTTGCTGCTCAGCTTGATTCGTCTAATCAACTTCTAGCCGGGTACTTGGCGCACGAGTACATCACCAAGGGAACTCTCTTTGGGCAACCGTACGACCCGGCTCAGTCCCAAGCCGCCCCGGTGCAGGGTACGGAGTCGAGGAAGCTGAAGTCGGACGACAGATCTGAAGGCGAGGTGCAAAAATACGTGGAAGTAGCAAATTTGTTGAAAACGGATGGGGCCCACATACCCGGCATCGTCAACCCTACCCAACTTGCCCGTTTCCTGAAGATATGAGGCCGTTACTGCTACGTGGACGCATCTCATCGGCTCAGAAAAGTGGTCCACTCGGGAACTACACGGCGGAAGCCAAGAAAAAAAAAAAGGAAAAAATTTCCTTTTTCCGATACCATTATCTGGAGGAAGCAAAAACGGGGAGTGTCCTTAGCACATTCTCCATTTTTGGCTATTTCCATCGGGGAGATGAAGAGCTGATATGGGGTTTTTATTTTTATTTTTATTTTTTGAAAGAAAATTTGTCTGCTTAGATCATGCATGTTATGCATGTACATTTGATGTCATGTCAGTAATAATGTGAATGAGAATTTGAAAAAAAGAAAAAAAATCTGTTTAACTTTTCCTTTTAGCCATTGAAGTCTGCTTGCATTTATTGGGATTCATTGTCTGTCGCATGCATGTAATTATATTGGATTTAATGCATCTAAAAATTTCTAACTTATAAGAAGAAAATGTGTTGTAGATCCATTATTAAATAAAGAATCTTTCTTATATATGCTTTAATATACAAATTAAGGGTGTAATTATTATATTTTTATTATAATTA